CTTTGTAGGTGACATGACACTTCTAGAGAGCGTTCGTGGGTTTTCCTACTAAAGCTCCTACCACTGTTTGGAGCAGGATTATTTATTGATCTTCCTCCAAACAACAGAGATGGTGGTGGTGGGATTTTTGAGGCCTTACACAGTGTGGCACATTCTCAAACAAGAAATCTCACTGAGAAGGGCAGAAAACCTTGTGTAATCTGAAAAACTAAAGGTGTTAATCAACAGGGAGCAAAGACTTAGGCAGTGCACAGGATCTACTGAAGAAATTAGCAAGCACAGCATGGGTGGAAGGAGTTATATGACCACGCATGCTATAAATGATGAAAAAGAAAAAGAATGACTACTTTTTCCCCTGCAAGTGTCAGGCATGTGACTTTTCAAATATCTAGATGCTAATTTACCAATGAATTCTACTTTTTTAAACTGCATCATTCACTGCTGGCTGAGCCTGACTGAAAGGACATTGCAAAGTGTCTTCCACAAATCCAAAATCCACCTTCCACTCCTCCAAAGCAGTTGAGCTTGGAGCCTCTTCTAGTCCAGATATTAACCACGGTCAGCCTCAATCTAGCTCATACTCTACAATGTCTGTAAATCAGGAAATTCTACCTGGTCTTGAATTTCCAAAGACGGCAGCAGCACTTTGCATAACTCTCTACTAAAAAATTAGGCAGCACAGAGCATCATGATGCGCTACTGTAGGAAAAGATTCTTAGCATATCTTCTTTCACATCCTCTGGAGAGCTGAAAAGTAATAGAGTCAAAGCAGGAAACTCAGCTGGAATGAGCATGCAGGTATTTCCCACAATTTTTTCATCCTTTTTTCCCCCATTTTTCCCATTCCAGTTTTTCATCCATTTTTAGCAACAGATGACAGAAATATCATATTTCAAAACGCTATGGAAGGATTCTGCAGAAAATCCCATCATAAAGAACAGTCACTAAGACTAAATATTGAACTGCCTCTGGGCTGCAGACATGCCCAGAGGACTAGATGAAGTCTGCATCTTGGCAGAAGCCAGCGGAGAGAAACTGCTGGTCCATTTTTCAGTGCTCAGTGCTATCACACAGGAGGTGCTTGGTTTAGCAAGGAACCACAGGGTTCTGCAAAATGAAGTCCATCCAGCCATCCAGAACATCACTAAGGGCCCCAGGGAAGATATTTTCTATTCAGGAGCATGGGGAGAAGAGGGAGGGAGAGAAGAGGAAATGTTCGTTAAGCACATGCTCAGAAATAAAAGAAAGCACTGGCCAAGCTCCAGAGATGAAATTCTGGCCCCACTGAGGTAGGTCGGAGCCTCAGTGGAGGCCGATTTCATCCAATGTGAACAGTATTCTGGAAATATCCTCCCTCCAGACAGACTGTGGGAACTCTTCTGGCTGTGAATGCTCCCTGGAAACACAGAAAGGAAGAACTGACTTTTGCAGCAATGAAATTAAACCCAAAACAAGAAAATAATACCAGAACAATTAATCAACAAATAAAAATGATGTGATGACAATTAAGCAAAAAGAACTACTGCAGAAAGAAGAGGGCGAGTCCCTCAACTCCTGGGCTACTGAACCCTGCCAGGGATAAGGAGGGATGCAGGGAAGAGCTTACAGGTTACAGGCTGCCACATCAAGCCTGCACTGGAGGCATTTTGCACAGATTCAGTAACAAGAAGAAGAAAACCTCCTGCACAGACAGCCTAGGAGTTTGCTCCTATCACTACTGCTAAATAAAGAGGCCTAAACCTAATAATTTCAGCAAAGATTCCTAGCAGCAATCAGCGTCATCACTTATAAAGTCCTAGGCAGGCTAGTTCACAGAAGGGACGCTCAGCAAGCCCTGCGCTATGTAACTATGAGCATTCTGCAAATGTGAAATACAATGCCTGAATACAGCAGACACAATTCTTATAAAGCCCATCCGCATGACAACTATGACCCAGTTATTTAGCCCACAGTTGGTCTCTGATTTAAATACCATTTGTTTTCATACCACAACTATACAGTGGTCCTGGATGCTTCCCATTCATTGGCTTAGAGATCAAGCTGCCAAAAATGCTAAGCTCTACCTTTCAGAGTGCCTGAACACCTACAAAGCCACGAAGTTAGCTGGAGGTGTACATTCCCATCACTTTTGGAACTCGTCCCCTAACTTCCAACCAAAGAACTTTGCTGTGAGCTCCTCTGCAAAAAGGGACCAAAAGGCTCTGCTCCCAAGGACTACTGCAAATTGCACCACTTTTGGACGTTGGTAATAAGAACGCATAAACTTGAGCATCTACCACTGACTGACACTCAAGTATTACTGGAATTGAGAAATTTGGATGAAAAGGCATGTCTGCATGGGGAAGTGACAGCAATAGTTTACAGCCAAGCACTAAACCAGTCCCTGAGTGACTATGTGTGATAAGCACAGCAGAGACAGGCACGTACCAGGGCTTGGAAGCTGCCAAGGTCTCTGAGATTTTCTCAGGACTCCGCTTTCCTTACAAAACACTTGGAGAAGTCTGGTTTGAGCAGTGAGTCTCCAGCCACCCCTGTGATGCAGTGATGCTGGCAACCTTTGCAGTGCTCAGGCCACCTGCCAATTTCCCGCTTCTGCGCTCTTCTCTGTCCCTCAAATGACTGGGAAAGCCTCTTCATGGTTCCCCCCAGAGCATGTGGCCAGCCTCTTCAGATGACTGACTTCAGGCTCCTCTTGGAGCTCTGCAATTTGCTGCTTAATTACCAGTGCGCCTGGACAGACCTCTGGCCTTGGTCTGAGCTCCTCGCCCACGGGCACTGCTATCTGCGCTCAGGATTGTCTAGTGTTGATGACTATTGCCTAAAGTCATCAAAAGCTAAGGGAAAAAAAGAAGGCAAAATGAAGTGACTCAGCAGGCACTGCAGCGCTCCACTGGCTTGGAGCAACTTTTTCACCCAGTTACATAGCTGGCAACTTGGTAAATGAACAACAAATGTATCTGGACTGACAATAATCCTTTTGCAGACTCTAAAAACAAACCTGGAAGGAAGAAGGGCTGGAGGGTTTCTGAGCTCTTGTGCTCCCTGGCTGCCTTGGCACCACTGTTACCACTGAATGCAAACCCAAACAGCTCCAAAACTGCTCATTGGCGAGCCAAGATCCTGTGATCAAAAGCATGAAGTATCCCTTGGGCTGCACTACACAGCAGACTGCTGGCTCTTCTCAGCATATGCCATGCAGTTACGGGTGTAAAGGGCACACCATGCCTTACTCGAACACTGGACACTGTAAAGACCAGTAGGACAAGGACAATTACCTGCCTGGGAGCTACTGGCTTCAGCAATGTTAAGTGGGTACAGCTGAGACTGGGATCTAGCCCAGTCTTTAGTATCACTGTGGTACCATGAAGCAATTTCACAGTTTAAATCAGCCTCAAATGTATTTAAAAATAATCCCTAGGAGGAATAAAATAGTATCTTATTTTGAACAGCTCTTGCCAGCACCCAAGAAGGCTTGAGAAAGCCTTATCCCACCAGCTGACAGACTGGCCCCAGACCACGATGTGGGGTACAACCTCGCCACTCCTCCCTTGCTGGATCCGGGATTTTGAACAGAAAAGGACCAAAACTGAAACCAGCACATAATCCACAAAGGTAGTTTGAAATCCACTGCTGGGTCATGAGAATAATTCAGTGGCTAAGGCTACAAGCCCAATGTTTCCAGAAGTTTCTTTTGTTGCCACTACACCAGCTGATGCCAGAACAAGGCAGCAAAGAAATACTGCAACAGAATGGCAATACGAGAGAAAGTGAGAATATAAAGCCTCTCTGGTGAATGAGGAGACTCAGGCAGAAACATTTTGACTTAGTTCCTTCATCTCTCCCCCACCTTTTACATATCATATTATTTTGGCTTCTTTTTCACACCCAGACCCAAAGTAGTACATAAAAATGCTTGAAAATAGATCACTTTTCTCTAGGGGCTGCACAGGTTCCATATCCAAACCTACATTTTATCACATTCTTCTACTTCCCTTCAGATATATCTGATGATTTCCTACAATACTCTTGTCAATAGTCATACACAAGCTGGCGCCAAACAGATACGTATTTTCTGGTTATCTGCTATTCTATCTAAAATTGGGAATTTTTGACCAGTACAATCCTCACTCAGAAGAGGTGACATCTATTCTTTCTAAACTGCCAGAGGTAGATTTTCAACAATGAGCATCATTTTTAGGAACAGAGAGATGAGCAGACATTTTGGGAGTTACCCGTTCCAACAGTTCTCCTTGAACAAGTGAAAACTAAGCAGGAAAAAAACCCAAACACAATGGAAACATCCATATTTCTCCTTTTTAGTACAAATCGCCAGCGTTGTTTCACTAACTCAAGTTTTCAAGTTCAGAAACTCTGACTATAAATCCTTCTGAAATGAGTTCAAATATCAATTAAATAACCAGTCAAGCTTCAGTCAACTTAAGAAAAGAAAGGCAAAAACAGAATTCACCATTCTTTTTTTCTTGATTGAAGGCAATGAAAGTGATTGTCTCACTTACTATTTACTTATAATATGTGGGTAAGAATAACTTCCATATGATAACTTGTAGTCCAGTGAGGGAACACAGGCTGAGGCCAACGCTGAAAAGAACATGCACCCATCCACTTAACAAAGAATCCCGGTGGAACAAAGCTCATTACCATGGTGAACGACAACCCGTGCTATAAACAAGATGTGAAGATGACCATAAGTTTATATTGCACTGCGTTGACTGAAACAGCTTGTTCTGTCCATGCGGAGAATTTCAATCGGAGTAATATGCCTATTTGCACACAGGGCTGCAAGTGTCTGCAGTACAGCAGAATGACATGATATTTAAATCTACTTACCCTGTAGATATCTGCTGGGCTTGAAGTCAGGCCTAAAGTCACTCCAATAAAAAAGCCCTTAAAAACCATTTTTCTCCCACTAAAGATCGGTTTGTGATTCAGGTCTCTACACATTTCTTTCAGTGCATCTACTGCCAGAAAGAGGAACTTACTGCTTGTTGTGAAGTTACTCTCCCCAACCTGGGGAAAGGAGTCTACATCTTGGATGACTTGTAGTACTCCCACAGTCCGGACTGGAGGATCCAGGGCTACAGAGCTCTCGTTGACCGTTATATCACTAGCTCCCGTTATCTGGTTGGTTGGTGGTCCTCCTATGGACGCTTCTAAATCTGGAGGTATATCATCTATGCAATCTGCATTCGGCTAATGGGAAGAAGAAGAAGAAATCTGAGCTTTTATCTGACGGACACCTGTAGTCTACCTGCTCCCACTTTTTAAAGTTTTTTCACTTTCCTTTACACCCACTGCTGCTATTGCCATTCTCTTGATTCCCATGGGACTGCTTTTGAATAACTATTGTAAATGGTAACATCCAATGAATTATGGAACTCGCTTGTTTGCTTGAATTTGCTTGTTTTTATGTACTTAAATCCTCTTAATAGAATTTGTTGTAGGAGAGACCCAAAGTATGCAGCAGAAATCTTTAGTACTAAACAGTGTAACCCAAAATATCTAACTATCTTTATTTATACTTTTTAAAGGTTTTAAGAGAGTGCAAATTGAAAAAGTACTTCATTTTTTGATATGATCTGCTCAACGCAGGCAGATTGCTGAGTCAGATTAGGAATGTAAACACAGACAGTAGCTGAAGGGGAATGATTATCTGGAAATTCATTGCTTTCCCAAAATATACATTTTTGTTCAGCTCATATCAGAGTTTTCAGGATCAGGAATTCATGGTAACTGCCCGTGGGCACATCTATATGTGAGGTGCAAGAATAGAAGCTAAAGCCATCAATAAGAGAAGTCAAGTATTTTAACATCAAAAGACCTATGCTTTGCTAATGCCGTATTTCCTGCAAAAGAAAATGAGAAAATAAACAAACAAGCCATAAAGGGAATTTGAAGAGTTTTATTTAGTCCACAGTCTTTCTTGCTTTGTGATCCAGAGAGACCAAGGGTGGACTCCAGTCTGTGTAATTCAGGCACTTCTCTCTCTCAATTATATGCTGAACACAGCTATCCCTACAGAGTGAGCTAAGCTCTTTTAAATCAGGTGCCTGCCTTTCCAAGAGAGGGGTTGTGGTGCCCACCTTTCGCCCAGTATTCTTGGCAGTACAGCACCTACTCAGGAAGAGCACTGAGAATTCAAGTGTGCCCTGAAAGGCAGCAAGTATTATCCATCCAGTGAGACTACATCCTAACTGGGCACTTAAAGCAGTCAGACTGGTTCCTACCCTTGATCTCTCTGGGCCTGTTATAAGTCTGGTGCTCCCAAGTACAAAGCAGTGATTTCTGTAGAACTCCCCAAAATCATCAGTGGCAACCATGAGTAAAAAAGTTCTTTTTCCTCTAAGCAGCAGCAGATTCCTGTGCCATTTACCCATAGAATCAGTTCTAGTTCTTCCCAAGGCATGGAGAAAATTTGTTTGTATAACTATTTAAGGAAGTGGGTTTTGGAGTTGTAAAATACTGTAACAAAAATAAGGCTAATTCACAAACGAGGATACTGTGTGCAAGGGTGCAAGGCTTCTGAAATGACAGACAGGCTTAGCAAGGTTGAACTTGATTTCAAGCTCGACAAGGTTGAACTGGCTTAGCAGTTATGCAGAAAGCTTGTTACATTAGGAGGCATATAAAGTTAAGCTGTTCCCACTTGTCTTTTTTTATCCAAAGGTTAGACGGCTCATTTCGATCAGTCACTTAGGCTTCCTCTAACTTCAACGGACTGAGGCCAGTTCTGCCGTGTGACTTACCTTGTCACCTCAAGGTAAGTGGCATGAATCACCCCCTCTCGGTTCCTGCTACTCACCACTCAATGGAGGGGGGGGCTTAAGCTGCTAGACTGGAAATCCAATGTCTGGACATTAAGAGAGGTACTCTCCTATTCTTATGTACCTCACTTGCTATGGGCATTTCTGAAAATCTCACTAGCTGCCTATCTCCAACAGCAGGAACCTAGAAACTAAGCAAAACATGTATTTATACTTCAATAGAGCAAAGGACTTAAACACAGGCTTAGCTTTAAGCACACGAGTAAGCCTTTTGAACTCAGGCACAGAAAGTTAGCGCAAGCTTAAGTGTTCTGCAGAATCAGGAACGTAGCATATTTTCTCTTTTCCCGTAAATGCCCTGGCTGACCATCGCCACCTCATACATTTTTTTTTCACAACTGTTCCTAATGAAAAAGACAGCATTTTAAACAACACTCAGGTGACTTGGACCTGCAAACTGAAGTTTGGGATAAAAATTACAATTGTCATTGTATTGTGATACATAATCCACAAGCCTTCCTCAGAGCTGGAATAACGGTACATTGAATTATAGCAGGATACAATGAAATCTACTGAACTGGTACTTTTCTAAGCAAAATATCAAGCAGTTATCTGTAGAACTGGGATCCAAAATTATTCGTTAAACTTACCACTTTTCCCCTCACCTTTAGCTCTTATAAGAAATGCCTTCAGAATTTTATCTTTAAATTAAATTTGTCTTTGAGAGTAGTATATCTTAAAGAAAAATGCTCTATTTCTCTTTTCTACTCTAAAAAAACCCATTTTTTTCCCCCAGGGGATTGGTTGTCTGTCCATTGCTCTGTTTCCAGTCATTTCAAAATGGGGTTTTAGCACTGACTTTTAAACCTTTAAAAATGGGATTATAATTCAAAATCAAACTAAACATTACAGATGCATCAATCGCATCATTCAATATAATTAATCCCTTTACTCCGGAATCATTTCAGTTGGAATTCCCTCCCCCCACCAAATTAAGCTGCACACTATAAAACTAATGATATGAAATTCTGATTGAAAATATATATACTATGGTTTTCACTCTCAGAATGACCCAGATACATTTGGTAAGTTTAATTATATTGGTTTCGCTCATTCCCTGCAGGCAAGTGCTCTGAGGGCGCAATTCCACTAAAGTCAAGGGAAGTCTTTGTATTGACTTCTGAGGGCTTGGCTAAGGCTGTTAGCGAATGGCTTCAAGTCATCCAGTCTGCTGCCAAAAATGCAGCTGTCTGCATATCCAGCAGAGATTTGCAGAGAAGAGGGAGAAGCAGAGGGAAATTATTTAATTTGATATGATCATGCCAATAGCAATATGGCTCTTTGAAAGTGAAAGACACTTTCACAGATAATTCACTACAAATATTACGGCCAAAAGAAGTAAATTCTGTGAGCTGGATTCACCCGCAAAGAAACAGTGGAAAAGGTTATGCCAAACATTTGCTGATAGATGTTTAGTTAATAATCGTCTGGAGCTGCAGGGTACCACAGTGAAAAGCTGGATCGTTAGGGTGCTCAGCTACTGTGAAAATCAGTGCAGTCATTTTGGCCTCAATGCAGCCTGAGGAGTCTTGTTTTAAGACAGATAACATTTGAAGTCTTTGTTACAATGTGAACGGAGAGTTTAGAAATGAACTGAATTGAACATTTAGATGTTTTGGTTTTTAACCAATCATTTCTTGGAAAATCCTGAGCCTCGCTGCTAAACGAAGCACAAGATATCCACAGCTGCACAAGCCAGCTCTTTAGTATCAATCATAAGACAAACATGCAACTGGCAGAAACTAACTACACTAGTCCTGCCTATGGTAAGATTTCCCTGCTCTTCCTATTATAAAAACCAGAGAGCACTTTGGCAAATTTGCACTCAAGTTTCCCATCAGAGAAGCCTGCCTGCCTGAGGCTGCTTTTCTGTGTGTGGAAATTTCAGTTAAGAAGGTTCAACATGACTTAAGAATGTGGTTAGGGAATGGCATTTTGCTTTATCCTGCAGAAACACTCTGCAGAAACATTTGCCACTGTTCACTGAGAAGCCCTAGACCTCCACAGCTTCTTTCAGGGAAATGTCTTTTCCCATGACAGTCTACTGACATCAGGCTAAATTACGAGCCTCTGAAAACATCAGTTCCCATGAGCCGATAGAGATCAATGGCTTATCAGAGGCTGACAGCTACACTCTCCGAAGAGAACAGGACTTTCTGTGCTATTGGAAAGCTTGCTGTGGCACCAGAAACCACAACACAGGACAGATGGCCCCTTCTGTGCTTCCTGCAGCTGGCACCCAAGCGCAGCAAGGAGAACGAGGACTTGCGTTTTCTGTGAACGTGGAGAACAAAGTCCATAAGCCAAGCAGGGAATGGGCACACGGGCAGGGACAGAGGGCAGCAGCTCAAAAGGCTACAGGTTAGGTGCGGGGGCTTAGGCAGCAGAGCAGCAGGCACAGGAGAGGAGGTAGGAAAGAGAGAAGCGGGAGTTAAAGCAGATTTTAGAAACAGAAGGCAAAGAAAACAGAAGGGGAGCAGACACTTGAGAGTGGTATAAGAATTTTTAACCCGCAAGCTCCCAGATGCTCACAGACTCCAATTTCCTTTGCTGTCAGCCAGAGGGACCCGTGACAAGAGGAATATCATCTGCTCATAGTTCCCACGGACAACAGGCTCTGACTGCAACCATTTCCCTCAAGGGGTAAAGCTCTGACATGCAGCTCTGCCTCTGTGCACCTAATCAATGTCCCGTAGGAGCAGGGGCCTGTATGCTCTCTCCAAATGAAGGAGTGAACTGTTTTCAGTTTGTTGTCTTAGAAACCTAGGGACTTTTTACAGAAATTAATAAAATAAATCCTTTCCTAGTGGAACAATAACACCAAAAAGTCAGGCGCTTGGCTGTTAAGAAAGACCAGCACTAAGGCTGACTCTGAAATCTTAACTTGACCCAGTTGTCTGTGTCAAGTTACGACAGTATCTTTAATTACATGATCACATACGATTATTTCCCAGAAACTCCATGTGGAAAACTCTCAGTGAGGGAAGCAGAGGGATCTCCCTTCTATGCAACAGCTACATGGTATAGAGAGAACAAGATAGGGAAGTGTGAGAAAGGAAAAGATGGCTGAGGGAATTGAAAATGATGCCTTTCATTACTCCTGGCCATTAGGTTCTTCACTTGCCACTACAGAGGTGTTCATATTTAATAAAGCCAGTCATGTTAGCCAAAACCTTTGCACATGGCCTATGCTGTTTTTCTTTTCCCCAGCGTATCCAGTCTCGGACAAACTGAGGCAGATTTGCAGACATACTCAGCCTTTAGCAGCCGTCAGCAAGGTCCGTGAGAGCCATATTCTGGATGTGAATACTGACTGACTGATAGCACTAACCATTCTGGAAAGACCTTAATAGCTCACTGCAGGCCTCCAAACAGCGGAGGTCAGTCTTGTCTATGCCCCCTAGTTATGAAACTGCCATGAAACAGCAACTTATAAATGAAATGCTTGGCTCCTCTACTGGGGCAAAAAGCCCAAGAGGGAATGGACCGGACTGAGTGCAGGAATCGCATGGTATTGCACAGTGCAGAAGAAAGTCATGAAATCGTATACCAGATAAGGAGAAGGGGTGTCAAAATACTGGATAATTGCTCACTGGCAAACCTGTAAACTGAGACATGGAACCTGTAGAAAAAATTCTGTACTTAAGGCTGAATGCAGTAATGCTGAACGGCAGAGACAGCCTTAATTCTGGCCTTTCCTAACATCTGAAATACTGAGTTAACAATTGTTTCTTTTAATATTCCAAAGACAATATACATATACAGCAGGAAGACGTGACTCAACTGTAATGGAATATTACCCTAACCACAGTGTTCTAATACATTTTTCACAGTGTATGTTTTTAGATTGGATTATGCTGTTGATTACCATACCTGCCTGCTTGTATAAAAACAAACTTCATCACTTGCCATGAAACCTCTTCTGCAACAGCCTGTTTGGCTTCCATGTCTCCATGACAATGAACTGCTGCATCTGGGGAATGGCCATAGCAGCTGCCCTAATGTGTTTGTATGATCTATTTTACTTTATATAACGCTTTCATACGTAAGCTGGTGTGACACCATCTGTAATTGGGGAGGGTATTTACAGCACCTGTTAACACACCGACCAGCAATGTTTCAGTATTGAACTTCCCTATTATGTGATAAGCTTTACACAGCGTGAGAAAGTGACTCACTTCTTCCTGGAGAAGACCCTCATCTTTGTGATAACTGTATTTAGAAACTGTACGGTAGACAAGACACGCACTATCTGAATGTAACCATGCAACTTAAAAAGATGAATTGTTTTGGCAGATTCTAACCACATCTGAATGTACCAAATAACAAAGAGCTTAACAATTTCTTATATGTCACGTGATCCACCACATGTTTAGGTATTGGGGGAAATGGTTCCTAACTGGAATTGGGAGTACGGAGCTTCTTGCTACATACAGACTTTGAGAGAAATTTGACAGGAGAGAGATATGGCTCCCCAAAATGAGCAATTACCTGTCCTAGACTGGTTTATCACAGCATATTTTATTTGCAGACCTTCTGCTTTGAGAATCTAATAGAGAGCATAATTAAAAAATAAATCTAGTCCTGATTTAAAACACCAACAAAAGCCATTTGAATGAATACTAAAATCCACCCAAAATATCATTAAAGAAAACCCACCCCCACAAACCAGGCAGCTGCAGCTACATAAATCCTAACACTCAGCCCCACCTCATACCCACACTTTTCCTTGCTCACTGAAGTGGGGTGCAGGGAGAGAGTTAGAGTCAGATCTTTCAGCTTGTATTCCCCTAAGTAAAGCAATATAACATGGCAAGAAGTGTAGGATGGGAACAGAGAGAGACCTTGGGGAAGAAGTGGGGATAAACCCAAGAGGCTGGTGTTTTCTCCGTGCCCCTGACTGGGCTGCTCTGCAAGGTGCTTACCGGAATCCCTAGAGCTTTTAGAATATTCATTTTACACATAGGGCAGGTACGATGGTCTAGCAGCCAGGGGTCTACACAGGACTTGTGAAAAAGATGCCTGCAATGAGAAACAGGATATTTTAATTCAAATCTACCACAGCACAATTTTCCTCTTCTTAGTCAGTACCAGAAGCTTCTTCTGAATTCTGTAAAGTGCAAGCATTTCAAGCAGTGTGGTTTGTGACCACTGCAAGGACTACAAGACCATACGCAGACAAGACTTTATAATGACTTCTGCAGCAGCTGAAGCACACGTGCACACCACACCATTCCTCGACTCAGTATGCGAAAGAAGACATGTACACAATTAGAAAACCAGAAAAAAGTACACAGCATGCAGCAGCAAAACCCACATTCTTTAAATGTTAAAGGCTGTCAGTAAACAACATCATCTTGCTGGAAAAGGTCAACTCACAGTAGTATGTCTTGATGGTCTTACAGACGAATCTGATTACACACAATTTAAATGTGAAACCATTGGGGGTCTCCAATTATTTCTTAGGATGCAGGGACAGGGAAAAGAAAGTGAAATACTTTTGTGTGTGCTACTAAAAGTGTGCTACTTTTCATTGAACTAAAAAAATGTGAGGACGATGGTTTTTAAAACATTCTCTCTTACTTTCCTGCTCTTCAGAAGGTGTCCATCAGAGTGAGCTTCCAAACAATTGTAGCTCTGAAGGGGTTACTGCTATTCCTACAGTCATTGACCACTAGAGGCAACTACCTGAGCTACAGGGCTGCAGTCAGAGGAAGTGAAAGCTGAAAGCTTGCCTAACTTTGCCTCACACAGACTGAACATAGAGGTATTCATTGTGCATACTTGACTGACAGCTCTGTTTTCTCCTGTGAGCATATTCTTTTACACTGTGGTTTTAGAGGATGAATGCTACAGGATATAGGAATGGTCCTTGCTGCAGGGTATGGAATTTAAGAAATGCTGGTGAGGAGACCAAGCAGAACAGTCCAAGGTGGTGAAGTTCCTTTGTCTTCCTACCTTCTCTTTTTCTTAATTTGCAAGTGGCATGTACGGGCTCCATTGACTTATCTTGCATAATAAGCATGCTCTCTTCCTGAATGTGCTCTGCAACTTTATTTTTTGTGATGTGTTGTTCTGGTCCAGCTCCACTCCTGAAGAACTGGAGGGAAGTTACCTACCATAAACATAGCCTCAAACACTACACTGGTGTGTAGGAGTTTGAAAGCAGACTTGCCTTCCATTGTTATTTAAACAATGAATAACTAAAGTATAACTGAAAGAGGGTACTTTCATGCTGAAATAAGAAGGTCAGCGTACACAATCTTGCACCAAAAGGTGCAAACAAAGGCTGATCTGCTGGTTTTGGTACAAGTTATAGATCAGCTGTAATCTCCTTTCCAAGGCTCGCAACATATGTCCCACATTCAGATTGGCAGAGCCTGAAAGTCAAATTTCAGTCTGCTTGAACTTTGACATCTGAGCAATCTCCAACTTCTGCTTGCCTGTGCTGTCCCTGGCCCATTTGTACGGCTTGTACAGCATGCCAAATAAAACCACCACGTAATGGCAGGTTTGCACTGCCAGTGCACATACAACACATACATACAACCTTTCAACTTGATGGAAGATACCGATGCGCATTTTCATCAGTATTGATTTGTAACTCTGGCTCTTACCAAAGAGACATCAACCTACATACTAGCTGGCTTCAGTCCTAAAACACACTGGAAATTCAAAGCCAAAACTATGTGATATCTCCAAAACAGTCATTCTTTTCACTTCAATATTTTTCTTGCTGCTCCTAGAAGAAATGGATCCTTTGTGAATCACAGCTATATGGCGAGCTGTGGTATTCCTATGCTTGGGCTGACTTCACACAACTAAGGGAAAGGGCAAATGTGTTCTTGGAAGTTTGACCTAGTCTAATTATATCAGCTGGCTGTTATACCAAACTTTGTCAGACCTCACCTGATCCTGTATGTCACCATGATTAACACAAGTGAAGGACTGTGATACTTGCAGTTTAAATCACTACTTTACTAAGGCTACTAAAGCTCACAAATCTTCTTCAAAACAACACTTGCCTTACTGGATAAAAACCACAACGTCTCAAATTTCGGTCTCTGTCCTACATAACTTTCTCTTTCTTTTATCTCAGGAGGGATATATTCAGTACATCCTCAAACAAGCATTTTGAATAGGTGAAAGCACAATGATACAGTCACCAGATGTGCCATTTTACATTTCGAATGCTTACCAACAGAATTCCCTGAGTGTGTTAATTCATGCAGAGTACTGAAAGTCAATGTATTGCTTTTCGGCTATTTGAAATAACTACAAAAATCTTGCTAGCGATTTGTTTTCTTTAATTATATATCTGAATTCAGAGACAAATATGTTTAACTACTAACATTTGAAACACATTTGGGCCAAAATAACCAGTACGGTGAGATGTTTATTTATGCTCTTAAAAAGTGGACTGCCAAAATCTGTTTCTGATAAAAAACATGCAACTTCTCTCAAACCATTTCACCATAGACTAGAAAGTCCTCTTTTGTTTTCAAATTTGTTTTCAAGCTTCTTTCAAGCTGTGGCTCATTACAGCATTTCATAATGTTCACTAACCATCAAGAACTTGAAATTTTCATGCTTTAAAGACATTTATCTAAAGTTTAGCTGCTGTTTTCAAAAGACAATAATCTAAAGGAAATGTTGAGTAATTTAAACACATGACAGATCACGTCACTTTGCACTTTCCAGTACTAAGTTAGCATAATGTATTATGGTTCTATTAATTTTAGATGTAATATGTACAGTAGAAATATCTTGATTATTAGCTAGAAATCTATAAAAAATGGAATATTACTGAAAATTAGACAAAGATTTGTATTTTTAAATTCTTGTACCAAAGCACATAATTAGAGGGCTCAAATTACCTATTCATGAATACGTAAACATCTTGTGCAAGTAAGTTAGGTGCCAGGCTTTGCAGATTTGGATTTGAAAATTTATTTTATTCTTTATTAGCTATAGCACTATATGCACACTTATGACTTTCAACAAATTGACAATTTATCGATGTCCTAATGAGTTCACCATCTAAATTCAGACAAAGTAAGGGCCAAAAAAAGGTAAGATGAGAGGGCAACTACAATATTCCACAGTCACATGCTAAGACAAAGACAAGGTCAACTACAAAAATCCCTCTCCCTCTGCACTTCTGGTTCATGTGAGTTTTAAAAGGAAGGAGACAGTAGAGGCAGCATGGATGAGTCCAGAAGAAAAGATCCCTATAGGGAGACAGTAGGAAAGATGTTTCAAACCCAGGCTTGAGTTTGACAATAAAAGTCATAGCTAGAAAAAAAAGTTTTTTCTGTTGTGTGCAACCATATGCATGCAAAACTATGTTCATTTCGATTGGCTGAAAAGTTTCTCAAAAGAACTGCAATTGATTAGCTTGCAGGAGAGAGGAGAGGAGAGGAGATGTCATAACAATCTTCATACAAGACAAAGGCTTCCAAAAGGAGAAAGAGAATAAACTGCTCTTCACGCCTCCAAGGGATAAGAGACACAATGATGTGTTTAAAACTGCACCAAGTGAGATACAGGTTACACAGCAGGAGAAACTTCACCATGATCAGGATAGTGAAGCACTGCAAGAAATTATGTGGGGAATCTGCAGAATCTTCATCCTTAGAGGCTGCTGAGCATGTTTGCCAAATAACTCCCAAGAATGACATATGCACGGCCAGTGCCCCCATGCGTTTCCGAATGTAGTGGCCTCCTGGGACCCTTTTCAGCATTATTCTGTGATTCTGTGACCTCACAAGTATGTGTAAAACTCACAGAGTCCAAAGAAAGCAGAAGAATATCAAAATCCTAGAACATTTCATTTGCTCTTACCCACTTCATATTTTTTTAATGCCAAATTGCTTTTGTTTGAAATGTATTTCAATTTTATTTAAAGCGGCATTGTTAAACTTACAAGAAAAAAGATTTAATTTCGGGCTCAGCTCAATTCTTATAATACAAATTTTATTATTATAAAGCTATGTTAACGCTTTCAGCTCGCCAACAATTTTGAAAGGCTTTTTTCCACATTGAGGGAAACTGTTCTCTTCCTACTTTCTACTCCTAGTCCCAAATTTCAGAACTGCAAGCAAACAAACCTAGCTTTTATGTAGTTTTTCTCAGAAGAAAAGCATGAGCTAAGAGAAAAAGAGACAAAAGCTGAAAGAAAGCTATGTTCCTAGGGACCTTGAGTAAAAGAACCAGTTGCCTGAACTGGACATAGGGCAGCAGCAGAGGATTGAGAAGGGGACTTCCGAGAGACTGAGTAGCACTTTAGTATCCAACAAGGAGGTTGGGCATTTGGGTAGGAGGTATTATTATTTATTTTTGAGGAGGAAGAAGGAAGGACAAAGGAAGATGATGATGAGGGTAAGTGGGAAGGAAGGAATTAAAGGGAAGAAGTAGTATGGTGAAGAATTTGTTTTCATGGGAGACTAATAAAAAGAGAAGAAAGAAGTGGAGCAGTCTATGAAATCACAATTGTTAATGCACAGAAGGCGGGGAGGGGTGCGAGCTGGAATGGGGTCAGAAAGAGCATTTATTGTTGACAGAAATGTAACAACCAGAAAAAGAGGTAATGAAGAAATAGAAAAGCTCTCAGTCGAGATGAAGTTGGAAGAACCATCTTGCCACTCTGTGTGGAAGGTGATCCTGGACAAAAAGATAAATAAAAGGGCTAGTAAAAGGCAGATAAAGGGCACAGCAGTACCAGTAACTTCTCCAAAGATAGGGCAGAAAAGATGAAGCTAGAGATGGAGGACAAGAAGAAGGAAGTAGGGCTGTGACAAGAGATGTCATTCTGGGAACAATGAACTTGGTTACATTTGATGCTGTGTCAGTGTCCTCAAAGATAACTTCAATGATGCTTGCTACCATTACATGTAAAACCAGCTGCAAGCCAGTACTTATTTCACCACCAAATGCAATGTCAGTGTCAGTATATATTTATTTAATTGATGAACTCTGTAGAGTGAAACTTATTAATACAGTAAATTGTAGAAGTTGGCTTCTTAAGAGGAAGGAGAGGGAGAAAGTGTAAGTTAATTGGAATTCTCCTTAAGCCTCCAGTGTGGGATACACAGTAACAGGCCATCCCAGCGCTTTTCTCTGCCAACAGTAAAAGAGAACATCTAGGGGAATGGCACCAGTACTAGCAGACATCTAGCTATATGACTTCAGACTTCATCCACTAAAATATTGGCCAGTGGGTTTTTGGTACCAATTTCTGAGTAGATTCATGCTCCAGTAGTCCTAAAGAGAAATCTCATGATATATGGGGACTTCCTACAGACTGTATCTGCTAGCAGTGGTTTTCCCAGTACTGCCTGCAATACAAAGCAGTCTCACGTGCAGTTCTTAGGGAATATTTGGCTTTGCAGGTAAAAAGTCCTACCTCTTGAACACCTCCTGGACGGAAACAGTAAAGTCAGCCAGCACTAGCGTCATGGTGTGGGCTTTTATAAGGTCTGATGAAATACCAGCATCTTATTAAACAACAATCTGATGCAGTTTCCATGCTAGAAACTGCACACAGTTTAACTGAGAAAGAATGCTGGAGGAAGAAACATACAGTATCTGTAGGTCTTTATCAAGATATAGCACTCTCCTAACACACTGAACAGAGACAGAGAGATAAATTAATCTCCTTTTTTTTTTTTTTTTCTTTTTTTGAAGGACAAGAAACTGACCTCAGTAGAAAGGCTCATGACTATTATTTCCTGTTTTGGAACTCCAAACCCATATGAACGTGTAAGCTACTACTCTCACAATTTGTGTAGCAGGAAAGCCAAGCTCTGTGAAGCTGCTGTTTGGAAAAGATCTTTTAGTTTTCATAATTCAAAACCTCTTAGGCTCACGCAGCAGGTATTTTACAAGACAGATCTGCTGCTGGTAACCTTTTAGCATGAGTCATTTTCTAGGTGACCTTTTAAGTCAGCCAAAAACTGAACATCACCTGTTAACTATGTTTTTCCTATTCACTGTGCTTTACTCAAGACTGTGGATGACAAAGTCTGATTGGAGATTCATTGAATTATGAAGCAAGACACAAGTGAAAGCGATAGCTTAGACGTATTATTGCTGTTGCTGTACAGCTACCTTCAAAAGCTGTCTGTCAGTTTAGTTAGTCTGTCAGTCTAGTGCAAAATTTCCAGACTTTATTGAGCTTCTATGGAAACAGGCTTGATGTCAAACCAAACTCCATATTTTCTTGTAATTTCTCATTTTTCTGTATTTCTGCTTCATGAAGAAATGCATTTGTGTCTATTTGTAGAAAAAAGAGTTCAAATGCAATTTGTCATTGTGGGGTATACAGTAGGTCAAATTTATGATTAATCTATTGCTTTTCTGTTTGCCGTTTAGTGACAGCAGTAAGCAGATTTAATGAGTCACAAGAACGAACAGAAGTGGACAGCCTGCAACATTCAAATATCTTCTTGGGAACAACATAGTCAGAAAAGAAACAAATCTTTCAGTTTCTCAAGCCAGTGAACATGTCTCCAGCAGAAGAAAAAAACTCTCTAAAAATATACGCTCTCTATGTACAGCACTTGAGATTCCTGTTTCTAAGGAAGTCAAACATTTGTGCTTGCGCTTTTAGGAGAATCAGTGTTCCTATGAAATTTCCTAAGAAACTCATCTCCCCAGAGAAATTATACATTAGGTAACGCTCCACATGTGATAGATAATACAATGGCGCACAGAGAAGAATATAGCTGTTACGGAAGGCAAGAAGCTGTGCTCCTGGGTCAAATCACTGTGAGCACATGTGCTGCACAGGACACGTTCACGTGAAGGGGAAAAAAGGAGAAGGAACAACCCCAAAGACTCTTCTTGTCAGCTCCACCTCCCACACGCCTAGTAATATTTTCATTGAAGCAACAGAAAATGTGGTCTTAGTCACATTCCCCTTTTGCTTTCCTGTTTCTACTCAACATTTCTCTGATTTTGGTTGTTTTTTCTGATAGAAGTCATCCCTTTCCCAGCATCCGGTCACAGCACAGGACAGTGAAAGAAGTGGCTCCATGGGAAGCAGATAGACTGCCCTGGCTGTATGACTGTTGTGCCCAGTGCTCGCCTTGAATTCAGGAGTAAAGTCTCCCATACTGCAGTCTTGAGCTACAAAGTCTTAAATATAAATATACAACTCTCACCACGCTAACAATTTTCTGGCGCTACTGTCCTAAGGAAATAAATAGACAACTGTTCTTGTTACCAGAGACCTCAGCATAGCTAGCCACGTTTGATTTAGCCAAAAATTCAGACCAGACAAGACTGACTATCATGCTAAAGTCAGGTTCTAAGGCTAAATGGCTCTCACCACCATCAATACTATTTTCACTTCAAGTAGAAAAAAGAGACATTTCAGGTATCTTTACAGAACAGTACACCAAAACAATAATGCCCCCAGCCCCTCCCTCTCAGGTCATCTCATCAGGGTGATATTCAGAGAACAGAATCTATTTTGAAGTAGAGAGACTATCAGAGCTAAAAATGCCTCTAACCTTCAGGTTAACTTACCTGCAAGGTAAGATTCTGACAACATCATTGGGCTTGTAGCCTTCAATACAAACAGCACAGTTATCAAAGTCTGGCTCAGTTTCCTACAGGAAAGAGAACATTCATCATTTTCATTCTTTGACTTTGTCAGCTAATCTCTTCATATAAGAGTCTATGTGACAAAGTAAAAGGGCCACCAATGCATGTTGTAAATGTAATCATGCACCTGAAGACAAGAAAGTCAGACTTTCAACATGCATCCAACTGGAAGCTTGCCCAGGAAGGCATGCAGATTTAGTCAGCATATTTGAACTTTCATGACTTTCAGCATCTTTGTATAATTTTACCTCTTTCTCCCGCTGCTCCATTCCATCCATAAATTGCTTACCAGTATTCCTCCCCTGCCTGGAGGACATATCCTAGCTTATAAAGCAGTTGTCATTTTTTTTCCTGCCTCTTTGTTCTGGTGGTCTGAAGGAATCCTCAGTGCACAGATCCGTTTGGTAATGAGCAATTTGAAAAATTACCTTATCACCTTTCCTGATTGTTCTGACTTGCAGCTTGCTGATTGCTTTCTTTGCAGCATCTCCAAGCCGGCGCTGTAATATAAAATTTGCTCTTAAGCAAAGAGTATCTCTTCATGCAGAAATCACCTTTTTTTTTCTAGACTTTTTAATAATCTGAAGCAACTGTACATGAAACAGGGAAATGCTGCATAAATGTAAACAAATGAGGTTGATCAGAGCAATGTGGGAAGTGGCACGCTTTTGTTAAGAAAAAGCAGACAGTATTCTAGGCTCACTGGTAACCTATGGCTGATGAGGCAAAGCTATTATAATGCAGTTTGAGCAGAGACTACCCACAAGCCTGCCATGATGCTGCACTACAGCTTTTTTACTATTCTAGTGAGTAGCAATATATATAGGGTCACTATTTGGATGTCCTACTTCTTCCCTCTCTTTTTTTAATTACACTTGTAAAAAAATACATTTTAAAATGAGGCCTGGGCTGGTAAGAAGAGTGAACCCTTGACTCAAGATTCCTGGTCTTTATTCTCATATCATTCCAGGACCAGTTTATGATGCCCAAAATTTAAGTGCTGTTATTGAGGTGTGTAATTTGGCAACTGTGAAAAACATGAATCTTCCTGTTTTCCTGCAATACAGAACTTGCCTACTTCACAGCAGTAACACAACATATAAAAATGAGATTAAAGCAGCTGCTGGTTTCTTACAGGGAAAGCACTACATAGTCCTGCTGCCACATCCTTTCCATACATAGTCACTTGCATTTTCTTTTCCTTTCCATCTTCCTCTCTAGTGGACCGTGAATTGCTTACCGTGTGACATTTCTTACTGTTCTCCCATACTTGCAGGACACTGTTACTATGCTGGCAGCATCACAGCCACTCAGGATTAAAGTACGCAATGCAGCCTGATGCAAAACAATCTGTTCTCAAAAGCTGAAGCTGGAGATGCCTGCTTCTTGCAAGAGTTTGAGAGCAGTTTGGGGCAGTCCCCAGAATCAAAGCTCAGCGAAGCTACCTCTGCATCCCGTGCTATTGTGCTTGTGCCTGTATCATCACTCCATGGACTTGCCGCTCACTTGGGCTAGCGCAAGAGTGAAGCAATCTGGAGACAGAAGCACAGGCTGGAAAGGACTTTGAGTGGTCTGGTACTCCCATCCCCTGCTCAAAGCCAAGTCAACTTCAAAGTCTGAGCTCACAGCTGTGTCCAGTCAAGTTCTGAATATCTCAATATCTGCAAGAATGGAGATTTCACAACCTCTCTGAGTAACCTGTTCGCTACTTCACTACTCTTACAGTGATTTTTTTTAATATCCAAACAGATACAAATTCCCTTATTGCAATTTATGGCCATTACCTTTGTCCCTTCTCTGTACATTTCTGAGAAGGGTCTGAGTCTTATCTCTGAGACAGCTGAGGACTGCACTCAGATCCCCCTCAGCCTGCTCTTTTCTTGGCTTAACAAACCAGACTCCATCCACCTCTCCTCCTACATCATGTGCTCCTGCCCATAGACCATGTTGATGGTCCTCCTCTGGGCTCTCGCTAGTTTGTTAATGTCTTTCTTGTACAGGATCATGCAGTAACACCTGCTCTGATGTATTCTTAGGGTTTTTACAGCAGCTTCTGGATCTCAGTGAACCCCAGTTTTCCATCAGTAAATGACTTAACGTCTTCTCTTCAACTCCCCTTCCCTCCCTATCCACCACAGCTGTTATAGCCATGTGCTGTTAGGAGGGCGATTCAGGAGCACTGGTGACTCAGAAGACATTCAACTTTTCAGGCCTGGAATACCAAATGTGCCGGAGTTCAAAGGCCCCTGTCAGCGGGAAGGGATTCCAGCTGGAGAGGCAAGAGCTTGAAGCCAAAAATGGAAAGAAGCTGGATGTAGCCCATAAATTGGGACTTAATCATCGTACAGATATGATTAACAAATTACCACTTTGTTCTTCTGATTCAATTAAAATAATCAAATTTAATTTAGAGAGCAAACTTATTGGATTGGAAAGACATAGAAGACTGACAAAATCCATGCAATGCTAAAAGCAGGGAGCAAATACAGACCTAGCTTAAGAGATGAAAATGATCTTGGCTATCACATGAGGTTTACATACAAGCTTTCAACTATAACTAATTATTACATGTGAGAGAGTATCTTGTACTTGCACAACATCTTATCTGTGGTACATTTTTCTCACAATCTCCCCCGAATAAAGGGATCGGACAAGAGTTGGAAACATTTCTTGCCAGCTATTTGTTTCTTTAATATAAATCAAAGACAGGCTGATAACACCAAGACAAGAGCCATTATGTCCTGTTTCAGGAATTCCTAGTGATTCCTTTTTATCTTTATTATTACTTAAACTAATGAAATGTCTCAGCTCTTTTTTGTACATTCTTCAAGGGGTAAGGACAAGATTAAAGATGCATGTACAACTTTGATCTGCTTATTTTCATGTTTGCTTTCTCTTATCTATCTTAAATAGACAAGTTCATGATTTAAATGGAAATGAGAATTATTTAGTTTTTGAAAAAATGGGAATATCCCGGCATAAAGTCATACTTTCAAAGGATTCTTCTATTTGAATGAAATTCGTGTGATCGCTAATCAATCATTGCCCTAAAAGTGAACAGGCATTACAATAGTTTAAGGATTTAAAGTAAGGCTTAGAGATTTGCAATCATAAATCCCATAATCTCATTAGCAAGGCTGTGACATTCAGTATTGCACTGGAAAGAGTTAAGGGTTCAGATGCCGTGGTCTCGTGGAGATGGTCATATTAGTCGAAAAGAAAAGACAATAGTATGGAAAGTACCATTTGTCAGTTCCTGAGGAAGTAAATTACAGTAGATTTGTGGAGGAAAAATAGTCATAAGTGCGTCTGTCTTAACTGCCTTGCTAAACTATCACCTCTGCAGGGAAGAGGTCACCTCGTGCCTCGTGCAGAACAAAGTACGCCATCAGGACGAAGTATCAGATGCATTGCCTGTCTCACAGATCACATTCGCAGACTCCTTCATCAGAGCCTTCCCAAGACTGCTTTGAAGATAGTGCCTCTCTTCAATGACCCAAACTCTCATTCAGGTCCACTGGACCTACCACCAGTCCTTTCCAGAGCATTGCTGGACCCATGCAGACTGCCAGCCACATACTAAACAGATCCTTCCTTAGAGATTGACCCAGGACACACAAGGCCCCAGTCACAGCCCCAGTGAGATGACTGCCTTTGGCTTCAACTACTCTGCAAAACTCATGGAGCCCACCCAGTTTTACAGAAACTTCTTCCTACCAAGAAATCAATGGGAAGAAACAACGCACAAGAAATCTTGTCAACTGATCCAGAACTTAAAAATCTTTCCCTCCCCATTTTCCTATCTTACAGCTCACAGCTGACAGAAGGCACTCTAGTATTGCTGGTGAAATACGAAATCTGACACACTGACAGGACTGAAAAAAAAAAAAAAACCCAAACCCTACGTCCTTGCTGTTACAGAGCTCCGACAGCAAGTCACATTTTGCTGAATTATTTCCAGGACTTAGCTTGTTTAATAATTCCAGACCGCTTTTAATTAGTCCTAGGACCGACTGTCTCTTGATACAAACAATTCTCTCAGTATTTCCCACAGAAACTCTCTCGTCTTCAGGAAGGCTACTCAGAGCACCAGGAACAAGCTGCCGAGGAAGCAAACTGCCTGTGCTTTCCTTATACAAATCCATCCTCTTCATTTAAAAAGGGCATATTATCAGGGCAACCACTTACTTCCTGGCCATCTTATTTAGTGAGAAAAGAACAATTTGAATTTTCAACCAAAGAGAATATTACTACCTACCTTCTACCTTCAAATGTACCACAGAGTAATCTGTGCTAGAGATACTCTTAAAAATGAAATGTATTAAAATAAGAATTGAATTCTAACCATAGTTTCCATGACCATAGGAAACTATAACCCATGGTTGCAGGTGCACAAGCCCATAGTGGAAGACAGTGTTGGGCTCTACTACAGAAATTCCCAGCAAAGTTTTTGCCTAGACAAAAGGGTGAGGGCATTCAGTGGAAAGCCTTGCAGTCCTGGCTCTTCACTCATCTAAACCGGACACCTACCTGGGGAGAGTCTGGTCCACACACCTGGATTTTTCACACTAGGAGAATGGTGGTGGTAGAAGACGTGTAAGGTGTATGTCCAGGTTTTATCCTATTGGGGTGTAACGGAAAATGATCCCAGTCAGGGCACAGCAAGGAATGGCTGCTCCCTAAGGGATGGGGAGCTGGGAGCAGAGGGGGATATCATGGCCAGCAGGGCAGGGTCTTGCAACCAGGGCCTGTCCCACAGTATCTAGCAATGCGAGCAGGACAGACCTGGAGATAGTGGCCAGGTCCAACTAAGAGTCTAGATCATTAGGCACCATCATGGTGATGGGGCAGGTTCAAGGTCAAGCTGGGAAGTAAATCTGCAGGTCAAGGTCATGATCAGGTCCAGTGATTGCTGAATGCATCCCTAGTGACAAGGTCAATCCAAGGCTAGGCTGGGCAGTTGGCCTGCAGGTTGGGATCAGGCCCACTCAGGGTAACTGGGGTCAGATCCAGCTGCACAATGGCTGGGGCTGCAGGGCCATGGGCATGGGGCTGGGTCGAGGCTGGGTGGTCAGCCTGCAGGTTGGGGTCAGCGGGGCCATGGCCGGTTAGGGACAGGACTGTGGTGGGGCTGCAGCCCAGCACCACTGTGGCATTGCGGGGCAAGGACTGACACCCCTGGGCTGGGCTGAAATGGGAATCTGGGGCTGAGCAGGGTACGGGGAGGCCTGGGGAGGTGGGCAGGGACAGTAAGGCCTGGTAGTGCCCGCAGGGACCTGACACCCAGGTCCCACAGTTTAGACGGTCTAACTGCCTCTCTGTCTCTCTTACCCAGTAATAAGCATGCAAAATTTGAATAAAAGCCTCTAGAAGAAGCCAACTGGCTAGTTGACATGAATTTTCATCAGCAGGGTCCTGATAATGGGAGATTCTTCAGTCTTTCTAGCTGTCTCTCTTACTAGCTGGACTCCTTGTTTCTGGATAGGTAATGAAATTGGTTCCTTTTGGGATTATAGATTGATCGGCAAGCTACCCGGTGTGTAAGAAGAGAAGTGGACCTGAAAAGGAGGATCATCATATACAAAAGGACAAGGGGACAGAGCTGGTTAGGAGGGCTGGCAAAAGGACACCACCTTGGTTAGGAAAGATTAGTTTGCAGTGAGTCAGCTTGGAAGAGGAGGAATAGAAGACTTAGAGAGCCCTGTTAGAGTGATCAAAGAAAGATGTTCAGAAATCTTGCTTTCTTATAATAGGGAAACATCTCTCCTGTTTAGAGGTAACGATTTTTTTTCCAGTCATATTTTGCAGTCAGCCCCATCAGGCTCTTCTCTCATCACAATGCCCAGACTACTGAATCCAAAGCTTGTCCTGCAGAGAGCCAGGCTGAACTGCTCCTGCTGGCGACTAGACTATCAGCTAGCCCTAGGAAAGGTATGCAAGACAGAGGTTAACAGAGGTAAGCGTAGGTTAAGCCCTTGTTTTAAAAGTGTTGGATTTTAGATCATTTAGACGTCAAAATTAGTTTAACTAAACTCTCTTTTCAACTAAACTCCAATAAATAAGCCACAGTTTTTAGCACTTACAGAGCAAGGCAGCCAGTTTGCCCAGTTAGATTTTATTGCACTCCAGGGTAGGAACTGATAGCACAACTTTCTCTAAATTGTCCAGCTGGCTCCCTCTGCATCTGAAGCTCTGTTTATCCAAACATTTCAACTTTACCCTTAAGATAAAGTTTATTTGGAGTACATCAAATACGAATGAAAGGAAACATCACTCCTAAAGTTTGCCATCAATGAAGGTGCTTACAACACGTGCACGGCTTTCCAGCGAGGAAGCACAGTACCCTCCACAGTACACACTCACACGCAGGCTATAATGGCAAAATTTTCCCAGCACAATGACAGAAGAAGTGTTCTAAATTATATGCCAGCAAAGTAACACAAGCAATTTCTCTTGCACCTATCAGAACATCCAGGATAGTAATACAGAACTTTGTGATCCCATCCTTGCACTAAATGCAAATGTCTAAAAGAAAAGCAAGCAGAACTTCAGGGGAAACATAGATAATCCTCATAGAAAGGGCAAGAGCAAGGTGAGCTCTTCTGATAGCTATCTACATATCTACATTACTATATTCCACAGCCAGGACTAAAAAAAACTAAAACTCATTAAGAGTTAAACTCATATGTATGTCCATACATATCACTAACATTTTCCATAAGAAATGTAAGAACTAATAAGGAGATTAGAAGAGATGTTAGGCAAACCAGGGTGAAGAAAGTGCACAAATAAATTATAGTTAGCTACATACTGTTATTAAAGGTTTGGCAAAAAATTAGTGATAAATAATTACTTATGAGGTCTGTTTTCCTCTGTTTCTCATGAACAGAACTAGTAATAAGAACAGGTTTATTAAAACCTCTGCATAGGACAATTGCTTGTACACAAATTAGTCTCATTGAAACTTTGGAAAGAAAACACTGAAAAGGAAATCTGCTTGAACACATAAGCCTATCAGTTTTAAGCTACAGCATATTACCTGAAGTGAGGATCTTATTTTGCTGGATTTCATGTTTATGTATGTATATTTACACTGCTAATCTGCTTGTATAATTACTTGATTGAAAGCATGCTTCTGATACTCACATACGTAAATTAGGCACACACGTGCTTTTGCAGCCAAGCCATCTAAAAATTATCACAGCCACTACAGTCACAGTGAATGTGCTGCCAGTGATGTGCAAATTCCAGCTGGGATAGTTACATTCTTACTATCCAAAATCTCATGCTGTATATTTAAAAGGAAAAAATATTCTTTCTGTCTGTAAATACACAGCAGCTGCTCTCTAACACAGAGGATGCCGGAATTTCAATGGTGGGTGAGGGATCCCTATAAACTAAGTATGCAAGATAGAGTGTGACTATTTTTCTCTACAACAAAACGATTATTGACACTTTCAGTTTTAACTTTGCAAGCAAGACAACCCCTCCTCAGGCAGTAATTTATTAAGGGCACAGAAAACATCTCTACGACTTATAGGGCATTTTTGTCCTGCAGTAAAACGGTTATTTATCTCCTCAGCGTTCATATGCTGGAAGATAACATTCTCTACCATAGCATTAGAATGAAATGCAGAAGCCTCACCTTCGAAATTCTGCTGATGCTAAAGTAGTTGCATCCAGTCAAGAACAGATTAAATTTATTATCATCATATTTATTATTAATCACTGCTGAACTACTGTAAAGATGCACGATGCTTTACAAATCCAGAGGATATGAGAACTTATGATCCTCTGCAAAACTTCCCACCTCCACACAATGCTGTTGGTTTCTGTCCAGTGCTACACGTTTCACATCCCTTTCAGGGGTTTTGGACAAGATGTTGAAAAGAAAAGCAATAGCTTAATAATATTGGTGGCTATCACTACAGCGCTTACATGTTTAGTGATCACTGTCAAATGTAAAGGCATTCAAACCCAAGACCCTTCAGGAGAAGCTTTATAATGAAAACACTTATTCTTTTTTCTCTGTTCACTTATGTTGGACCCTTGATTCACACACATACGTTCACTTACCTTACCATTTTGTAGTCGTCATTTAGATCTTAAGGTCATTAATTCATATACATTTCTATGTCACTTGGCTATATGTGCCATGGGAATCTTTTTGCTAAAAACTATTATAATCTTTCCAGCAATTTCTTGTGCATGGGGAAATAAAGGCATAATATACACACTACATATTCATTCTTTTCTTTTTTTCTGAATATCATCTACCTTGCCAGAAGTCTTGGTTTTTCTCACATACTGGCACTTCTAGATCCCCATTCTTTTCACTCTTTCTTGTTTTTTCTTGTCACACATTGATATTTTCCCCACACTTTACTTTAAAACTTATTTAAATCTAAATCCTATGGAAATTCTTTCAGAAATATAAGCACCCATTGGAGTGCTGCTCACCTGATTTCTGTCTCTGGCATTTGCATAGCGGAATCGCTGAATGTAATAGAAAACCAGCCACGCCAGTGAGATGATCATCAACACAATGAAGGAGATAGAGACGAACACCACGGAGGTACGGCTGACGTACTTCTGCAAGTTGCGTGTTCCAATTGTTATGTACATCATCACAGTAATATTCCTCTCCAAGAGGCTCACTATCTCTTTTCCTTTGGGTTCAGGAATCATTATTGCTACAACATCTTCTAGACCTGTCATTCAGGAGGGAGAGAAGAAAATTTAAATAAAAATGGCAACTGCCACGTAAGAAAATGACAAGAGGACATGGTATGGCAAAAAAGGCAAAACTGCGATAAAAAGTACCCCTTTTTTTCTGTTGGTTTTCACTGAGAGGTAAATCTGATGAATTTGTTGATGGTTTCAGCTAGAATGAGTTACATACACAGCGTGCTTCTGTACACTAATCTTGGTGACATAAGTGAAATATGCTTCCTGGGTTGACATAAACACAGTTTTCCAGTACTATTGAGGTACATCTAGAGGATATTGATGCAACCACTGCAGAAATGCAGGTATGCTGTAGCCAGCATCCTTCTCTCCAACATCTCATATGCACAGGGTGATGAGTCTGCCGGAGAAGCCCCTCTAAACCCACTCATGCCAACCAGAGATTCTTTCAATCCTAGATCCCACCTGAGATTCAGGTGTGGCTGTGTCAAAATGCCCCTTCCCTCCCCTCAGCCCTCTGATGGGACAAGGCTCCAGGGACAACAGAGACGTTCCTAGCTCACACTGTGCTTGCTCTGGTCTGAGTGTCACTGTAGGCCTCCCCTCTCGCTGGAGCCCAGATGAATGTCTGGGAAGCCATGCTGGGAACTAGACTCACAAAAACCAGCAGCACCTTTTTATTCCACAAAAATGGTACTACAGCCCAAATTACCTAATGGACACAGTTTACAGCATGGCTCCATATGCATCGGCACAGTGTAGGTGGGAAAAAAGATGCGTCCACAAACGAGATGGGGCAGGAACTTCCTAAAGTCCAGTCAATCTTTCTGAAGCCACAACCCCATGAAAGCAGGCCCTTCACCAATCTATCATTCCTTGAGTCTCTATTAGTTTTCCTCTATGTAGATACTTTTTCATTTGGCTTTCGTTACAAGCTGCTGATACCATTTTCATTTCTTGTATGTGCCCTATGTACATGACAAACACAGTCTGAAATTATCTGGGATTAGGCAGCTTGTTAGATGTCTTTCCTAGTACCTCTGGCTTTATAAATAAACTATCATTCCTTTATAGGTTAATATTGGGGATATTCTGTCCTTCCATCTCACTAAATGGGTGTTTAGACAATTTTCAGGCCAAAGCTATGTTTTGCAATGGTCAAATCCTGAATTGTACTAAGCTGCTAAAGACAAACAATGCATATTTTAATTTAGAAACGTGCTCATCACAAACTGGAACTTAGAAAGAAAGGTACAAACTCAAGGTGTGTGAAGTAAGAGAGATAAGGCTGGGGTGTTCCAGAATTTCAGCTGAAATCACGGACGCATCTAGAAACCAGGCCAGCAGGCTGTCAAATCCATGGCTGCCTGAAAGCGGGGACATTTTGACTGTGGCAGTAGGACAGAATGCTGCCTGCTTTGGGACATTAGCTAAGGTGGGGATGGGATCGCCTGGCAGCAAATGCAGATGTGAGAGGAAGCCTCATGTTTCCAACAGAACCCCCATCCAGGATGACATCTAATCCAAGCTTCATCACAGCGGCACCATGCCCCACAGTCCTCACTGTCTGGCTTAGATGTTTCTCCTCCCCAAACCTTTGAGAGGTATAAACCAGTTTTTCAAAGGTATTTAGATACCTAAAGATTCCAAGAGCTGCCTACTGGGATTTGAAATCTACTAAAGCAGATACATGCAGAGCATTCAGTGGAAAATCCTATCCGTGGTGGAGGCTTCTTCAAATTCTGCTAGGTGCTTGGATCAATCAGAAGTACTGAAATAGCTGTGACAGACTGTTTCTGCTCACGTAAGAAATCTGCTGCAAAGCTGGGATCTGAACTCTTCTCTCTCAAGTCTTGGAGCACAACTGGGAATTGCATCATTCTTCCTCTCAGGAGACTTTGCATCATAACATTTCGCTGATTTTGAATAAGCCAGTCAATGAATTGCTAAAATCACTGATTTGACTAGGCCAAAAGAATTTTAGATATCTGTGATGTTAACTTAACCTTTCTATTGATATTTTTCCATAAAGTATTAATCACTTTCATCTATTCCCCCCCTCTTTTTTTTGTCTAATAAGAGCCCACCTTCAGCAGCCAAGATAAATCTACCTTTGCAACACTTCTGATCCCTGTTTATTACCAAAGGCTAATTCAAACATTACGCTAACAGCCTAAGGAGAGTTTGCCAAGTCTCCACGTGGCTGAGAAGGGCACTGATCATGTGCCATATCAGTAATTTTCCTTTAGTCAATAAGACAAACGGTCTGGAGCAGTGCTTATGTTTTTGAGCTCTCCATATGCCTTCCTTTGTTCTTTTTCCTTTAAGAAAAATAAAAAACTTAGAATTCCCCCTGAACAAGAAAATACAACCAGCCTTTTCACACACTGCCAAAAAGAACCCAAAGGGAAAAATCCCACAGCACAAAAATACTGAGATGAATTTCATCAGTTCCTCTCAAAAGCTATCATTTTGACCCACTCACTTGTCCAGTATGGACATCTAACATTATCTTTAATATGATCTGGAACGCAACATGAACGATGTAGCCCGAAGGCCTATACAAATGGGAGAGAGATGAAAAAAAATTACTCTGAAAAATACATATATTGTATTTAACTGTTTAATTATGCTGCTATTCAACTAAACATAGCTTAGTATATTTTTGGGAACTGTATATAATGGACATATGCCAGATATGACATGTTGCAAACTGTGAATCATATTTATGCAATAATAAAGTAAGGATTCTTAACACTACTCCTTTGCACCCCACAAAAATGCCCAATCTTCTTTGTATTTCTGTATTACAGGAATGAGAAAGAGGGAGAAAAGAAATTGTGATCTCCTGCTTAAGTCTAACCTCATCCCTGTTTTTCATCACCTGTATTCTCTGACCAAACTCAAGCGCAACTGTCTGTCTTCAGCTCTTGGTGGATGCATGAGTGGTTTTGAAGAGGACTGCAGCCACACACACGTCCCTTCTCTGTTCTTGCCTCTTTACATCTCCCTGCCAGCGTGTTCTGCTCCAACCTTTGACCTAGAGTCTTTTAAGGTACTTTGCAAAATACAAGATTCTAGAGTAAATACATTGCCAAGTACATACGATAAATACAATTGTGTTTAGAAAGGCAAGTCAGAAGACATAGCTATTGCAAGAGGGAAACAGCTGCTTTTATTTACTGAAATACTTATTGCAGGCTATCTAGTTATTTTTCCTCAGAAAAATTACCATTTTTAATGAAGCATTCTTGGAAAAAATAACCCAAATGGCAACAAATGTTAATCAGGATTTTTTTTTAAGCTTCATTTGATTTACTATCATTTCTCTGACATACTATAGAGAACGCTATTTAATCGATCAAATCACCAGGCTAAGTTTTTGATCTCAAATATGCCCAATGCTGGGAAGAAAAGAGAAAAAATGAGAAATTAATTTATTCCCCTTTCCTTTCTTATATAACAAAATGTCTATGTTTTCTCAATTGCAGAATACATGGGGCATACCAAAATACAGGAAAACTGTTACCAATAAAAGAATAGAGAAAAGTAATCAGACATCAATGTGAAGAGTTCTATATCCAAGCATATATTTGTTTCACCAGGCCAAAAAACTATCTGTTCATACGTACAGATGCCTCCCTTCTGAGTTAAGTGCCTATGATGCCTTTCAGTACACAAATCCACAATGGTAACTAGGCTTGGCGGCACTCCGTTACCCAACACATTTCTTTTGTTTTTCTGGCCAAGATTAGTGCAGAGTTTGACATGAATTTTTGTCTGGATGAATCAGAGATTCATAAATCAAAGGTATTCAGGCTGCAGTGAACGGATTTTTTTCTTCTTTGGCTTAGGGAACGCTTAACATATCAATGCTCTCTCTTTATGTGCCAATAACAAAACAAGTAAAGCAGAATTTGTAGACATTTCGGATGATTTAAGTCACTTTAATTTGCTGAACCATATTCAGTTAATGAAATACTTTTTGGGTGCAGAAAACTACATCTGCTCATCTTCAGGCAGCTATTCTGCTTTGGCAGTAGGCCTATCATTGTACTATGCAGGACTGCATTGACATTGCATGGGTGGGTGTTCAGGAGGCCCGGGCATTGTTAGCTTGACAGCGGCAATACTGAAAAGATATCTGTAGGCTCAGCCTACCGTCTGACTACTGGGACAAATGGGCAACCCTGTGGCTAATCCGTTAATGTCAGAACAGCCATACCAAGATGTGGCTGCTCTGTTCACTTCAAAAGAGTTGCTCTGGAATTAATATGCCTTGATATACCGAATCACCCAGGCATTATACCTTCCTATGTGGATCACACCGAACTCTTCCTCACTCCAATCTGCAGGAGGAGGAGTCCCATCTTGCTGCTGACTGAAGACAGGAGGAACTGCACAGCGAGGGGAGATAGTCAGTCTACAGCATGCTCCAGCTGTCTTTTGCCACCTGCATATGGTGGTGGAAGACAGAGTTGAGAAGGAGCAATATAGTCAGAGAGAATATTTTCAGTAGCAAGATGTGCAGCTAAGAAAATACTTGATCTCCCCCTGATGATGGTCTCCAAATCTTCCTCCTCGCCCCAGTACTTGGCTGGGGAAATACACTTCAGCTTGGATGCTTTGTATGCCAATCAGCAAATTTCAAGTGTAACAATGTATACACTTGTGATAGGGGAGAAGAAGGGCTTCAGTTCTATAAAAGTAGCTTTTGCAACTCATATCTCAAGAAATGAACACATTTTACCTCCTTTAGAAAGAGAACAAGCACTGAAAAACTGAAGTCAGAAGATATATGTAAATTTTCCACCTTGGCCACAGGCTGACAAACCTATGGGAGCTTCTAGGAGCGTCAGGGATGACAATGAAAATGGTCCTTTATTCTCCTAATTAGCATTCAGGTCCAGTAGTAGCAGGCTGCTTCTTTAATGTTTTGTCAATTTTTGATTGAGGCTCTAAAAAATGATATATTTCTAACACATTTTAGAAGAGAAGATTTAATTCCTGATGCTTGGCAACT